TTGTATTGATCCATGTTAAGGTTGCCTGAAATTACTTTTTAGCAATAAGGCCGCCAATTGTACTGTTCTGGTACATTATTATGTTTCTTCATTTACTAATGGTGTGTACAATAAAGATTATTTCATTCATTCATGTTTAAATTCTTTTGATTTAACCATTATTGGTAGATTTCGGAGCAAAAGATTTAATAAAAATGTAGTATACAGACTTGCTATCCTATCAGTCCACACTTTTGTTTTTATTATGCCACATCTACAGAAGCATAAGCATACGCAATATGTAAAAAAACGATAAATAAAATAAGTAAAAAAGATAACAGTTATTATTTATACATTACATAATATAATTTCTAATAATTCAATTAAACATGTAACTTCCACCGGGGCTAGTTGTCTAGACTTAAAAGATAGCTAAAAATCAATGCTTTGCTCTCTGAGTAAGTAATTAATGAGTTCTTTAAGTTTATTTATACATAATTTATAAATGTATGCTTACTTTGTAATGAGAATAAATTAATGAGTATATATTTATTAATCATTATAGTTGACGATGGCACCTCAACACAATCTTGATTATAGCTTGAAAATGTGACGCTTCAAAAATTAAACTAATACAAATTAACTATTAATTGTATATGTCGGGCTATTATTTTTATTAAAAAATATAAAAATAATGCCTTAGTATTTGGCAAATAACTTCAATCTTTTTGAATTTGCGTTTCCGGTATTTTATAACTACACTATTCATTACCAATCCAATATTTCAGTAAGCATAGGTTAAATTTGGTATTTTACCTATTTTTATATATATGTACTTGTATTATATTTTATTTAGCCATGCCTATTCAATATTATTTATTATATAGCATCGATTATCAATAAAATATTCCAAATTACAAATGTTATATACTTCACCCGCGTAAATTATAGCCTATGTCATCCGCGCCAATTCATGCCAGTGAAAGGTTTTTTTAATAAATCCAGTGGTTTTGAGCCTATTCATTGCAAACAAATCAAATCTTTCCTCTTTATAATATTATAGTACATATATAAGTATTTCAAAATCTATATATTGTATTAAAACGTGAAGCAAAAACTTAGGACCCCTTTTTACGAAAATTGCGAGGACGGAGGAGTATGAAATTTGGCACAATTATAGTTTATATGAAGGAGAAGTGCAAACGGCTAATATTTTTCAGTAATAATGCTTATAAAGTATATTAAATCGATAAATAAAATAGTAATGTTTTATCAAATGCATAGAAGTGTGTGTAAACACGCTACTATGCATTTGACACACACAAACAAGTATTTGCTACACGCATACAGAGCGCTTAGTGTAAGTTTTTTGACGTTTACGTTCACTGTCGATCGTGAGCGCGTTAACATTTTAGTATGGAATCCGGTACAGCGCCCCTAGCGGTAACTACCAAGCACTACAAATCTCCATTCAAATCAGTTCTGTGATTCAAATTCTTAACGCACTCACTAGTGAACGCGTTAGCATCAAACTTACACTTACCACTCAGTACTCTTTGGTCAAATTGTTTCTTTTGACATAGAGTTTGTTTCTCTTGAACATTGGCTTCGCACGGTTTGTGCATTTAGCCAGTGTCAAGTTTTATATGTTTACCATATACAACTATTTATATGTTTGTGATGTTTACTGTGGTCTTACTGAATATCAAAAGAAATTCGATTTCAGTAATAACTTCTAATTGAAATTTATTATGGTCGAATTTCGACCACCGGGCGACCACTTGTTAAAATAGTTATTCGTGTGTTTTGTGCTGTTGTTATTTCATAAGGCGTTATTTTGCATATTGGAGTTCTTGTAAAACTTATCATTAAGAGCTATATTAATAATAATGATTACTCGTTATGTTTTAAAGTATTGTCAGTTTATTATCACTATAATTACGGCACTATTCAACACGTGCTTTGTTAAGTTTTCCTCAGTCATGAATAGTAAGTGCAATAAACACCAGCCACCGTTCTACCGTTAAAAACAATTTACCGAGTACCAGATAAGTACAAAGTTCAAAACTACTCTTAGTAGGTACAAACAACAGCACGTCAGGATAAACAAAAAGGTCGAATTTCTCTACTTGATTTAAAACCATAATAAATTGTAGGTAGAGGTCAAAATCACTTTTGGAATTTGAAATATTGTGGTGACATAACATGAAGCCGTGTGAACGATGAGAACTATTGGTACCAAGGGAACAATAATGTACAAACTTCTTACAACTATAGTAGAAATGATAATGGATGTAGAAGCACCGAATGTTTACATTGTGATCTTACTGGAATTACCTACTTAACCTTTTATCGGGTGCTTGAAAAGTTGCAAATGGGGCAGGGGCAGGTAGTGGTCATTAGAGTTGCGAAACTTGGAGATCGTACCAAGATTCACGTAATAAGATAGCGGCAGGGAATTTTGAAAAGAAAAATGCACTTATACGTTATTAACGTTAGGGGCATGATTCGAAAAATCAAATTAAGCCCATACTGCCCAATTGAGAGATTTTAATATCTACGGACTTTCTACAAATTTACCTTATCCACCTATTATATTTAGTTTTTAGCCTAAGAAATTGTCAATAATTATGGATTTTAAATGTGGATACTTGGAAGACATCGCTGCTTTAGATATATGGTTACATGTAAAAACTAACTTAAATAAACAACATATTTTATAATTGTTAACATTTGGGAGTAAAAAGGGTGTCATGTCATGTAAATTAAGGATTTTGAAAGTGGGCTTTTTAGAAGAAACGGATACTTAGTAACTAACAAAATTTGCAATATAATTTACTATAAGTAACATATACATAAGTACAGTTAAGGGGATAAGTATTTTAAAATATGTTGTAAATTAGTAAAGGGTACACTGGTAATTGATAAGATCGGAGTTGTAATTCTGCCATTCTGACGGTTCGCCGCGAGTTTTGCGAAAGTTTAATTTGGAATGATGAAGATCGACGTACAATCGAAGGGTAAATAAGATGTCAAGAGAGAGGTAGTAGAGGTAGTTCATGCATTTTGTTGAAAGAGTGTTGATACTATTCTTAGAGAGGTCGTAATTCTGCCATCAGATCGGCGCGTTGTGAGATATGATAGATAATTTTGGTTTGGTTTAGAAAGAAGGCGAATCCCTTAATATATTTTTGTACGTTGCGAATCTAAGCTACGTCACGATTTCTAAAAAATTTTATTCATCGCAGGCTTACTTAAATCTGTGGTATATTTAAGAAAAATAAGAGTCAGTGAATCAAGACTCGATACAAATATCAATTCGACGTCGATAATTTTCATTTTAGAGTTCTGCGCGGTTTAGCGTTACAAATTTAACAAAACAATCGTGGAGTGCCATCGTTAACTTGCACAATGGGACATTCAATATCTATAGCCGATTCATACACGACGAGAATATGAGTGCATTAGTTTCGACACGTCTGAAACGATGAGGAGGTATCCGTCCATATCGCGTCCTTTATGGGAGACACTAGTGTCTTAAGCACGTAATTAATCGGCATTTGTATCTACCAAATGAACTATCCAATCCAAAATACCTAGCAGTTCAACAGTTTGTTTCGTTATTTTAATATTTAAAATTCAAACGAGTACCACATAGTCATCGTTTGTTTTAGAAGTGGCCATAAATAAAAAAAAAATGATAATTGGACAACGAAATATGATCCGATTTCAGAGTCTGGCAGTGTTCTGGTTATTACCGTTCAAAATATCAACCAGGAGTAGTGGCAGTTGCGAAAGTGTTCACCAGTCCATGATGAGCTCTTAGTATTTAAGATTGCACGCATATCCAAGTTCATCGTTAAATAATACTGTATACCGAACGCTGTGTTCTTAACAAATTTATTAAGACCAATATCCTCAAATTTCAGGGATTGTGCTCTTAAAATCAACATCCGATATGTCAGGGAAAGTTTCATAATCTATCCTGCTTTAATTTAATAAATTTTCAATGCATAGAGTAGGACATATTTTAAGAGGACATGTCCGGATCGACGTTATGATGGTAAGACCATTACTGTATACGTTCTTTCAGATTTTGAAAGTATAATTACCTGATATGTAACAGAATTTACTCGACTCATTTAGTTGACATCCACGTTCTATTTGCGTTTGTTGATTGCGACTATTTTTGCAAGTAATATTTTATAAATATTAACTGAGCCGTAACCTTTTTTAGATGATAATTCGAATATGAAATGATGTACGGTAATCGTTGCCTGGTGTTTTGATAGAAATAAAAAGCAACATCGACTTAGTAAGATAATTATTTACTTGTAACAACGGCAATTTAGCCGCTTCTTATTAATACACTGGTATTTTTCTTATTTAGTGATTCTCACATAGACTCGATTGGATCAATTTTAGACGGACTTCGTTTTTATCGAACTTTCTTTAATCAAGTCGACTTTCCTTGCCAACTCACGTCTTAAAAATTTATACGGTATTCAGTCTGATTACATAATAAATTGAAAAACAGAGATTGCATTATTAATTGCATTAAACTTAAGTAATTTTTTCCCGATTTACTTTATAATAAAATAACGCTTATGGCTTCATTTGTCTTGTTTTTTATTCGCATACCTACTAATTTTATAAATAAATACATTATAAAATCAACAAACTGGACCGAATATTTTCAAATAACGTTTATTATGAATAGAACATGACGAAAGGAATTGTGAAACTGTGTGAACGAAACGCTTCTATGTACTCAGTGGATGGGCAGCTATTGTATCGTTCCATGCGACTCAAATCGTATTAGTTTCACAAACATCCTCCAACAGTGTTAGCGAGCTGCAAGTATTGCCTATTTTTATGTATGAAAAAAACGAACTATGTATCTGTATGTAACAATAATTATTTTCAAACTACCCAATTAAAGAAAGTATAGTAGCAAAAACTTGTTAAACAAAATAGGTACTTGGAATATGCTTTTGACGTTTTTGTTTTATTGTTCACAGGGCAAAAGACGGTAACACGGCATGACTGCTACGCACGGTGGCGGACGAGAAGATGACCGTCCGGACAAAGATACTGTCTACACGATTAAAACTGGATTTAAAAATGACGGCTACCAACACGACCGGGATTCCAATGAAGACATCATCAAACCTCCACCACTACCAGTCGAAGATGACAATTATCCGACTGGAAAGGTGAAACTCACGCTCAACGAGAAATGGAGGATATTGAAAAACGTAGCGGCAGTGAGTGCAGCATTTATGGTCCAGTTCACTGCTTTCCAGGGTACTGCGAACTTGCAGTCATCCATAAATGCAGCTGAAGGTTTAGGGACTGTATCATTAAGTTCCATTTATGCGGCGTCGGTCGTATCTTGCATATTCATTCCAACGTTCCTAATTAAAAGGTTAACTGTTAAATGGACCTTGTGCCTATCTATGTTGTGCTATGCACCTTATATTGGTGCACAGTTCTACCCTGCATTCTACACATTAGTGCCTGCTGGCGTGATGGCCGGCTTAGGTGCAGCACCTATGTGGACCTCCAAAGCCACGTACCTTACGCAAGCGGGTAGCGTGTACGCAAAACTAACAGATCAAGCTGTAGATGGAATCATCGTGAGATTCTTTGGTTTCTTCTTCCTCGCTTGGCAGACCGCTGAACTTTGGGGAAATTTGATCTCAAGCTTAGGTGAGTATCTTTCACGACACCGTTCTTTATTGCAAGCATTTCTACTTATTTATATTTAACTTATGATTTCCTCCTACAGTATTCTCGTCTGGAATACACAGCAGTAACCACACCTTGAATAATACGATGGTCAGTTCGGCATTATTGAAATGTGGTGCGAACTTTTGTATGATCGGTGGACAAGAGCAAGACAAGAATCATAACCTGAACAGGCCACCGAACGATGAAATCTACAAAATCAGTGCCATATATCTCGCATGCGTCGTTGTCGCCGTACTGATGGTGGCACTGCTCGTCGATCCATTGTCGAGGTAATTATACGTCATTACTTATAGTACTGATTTATTTTCCTTCAACTAACTTTTTGTCTTGAACAATAGCATAATCATAAACGTCGTTTGTATGCGCCTGATATCCAAACTAGGCAATAATTTTTAGAATATCAGGCCCCAGTTCTCCATTATACAATGTATTATGGCTATATTAATGGAATCAACTATTTCAACTTTATCGGCGTTTCTGCGTTTTGGTATTTCCACTAAAGGCTGTATATATATGAAAATGTTAAACTAAAACTCCGTTTCAGTAGACATCCTATTATTATGATTTTTAGATATTTGCGTGAATGTCCATGACACCATATTATCGTTCCTTTAATGTTTGCCTTTGTCGCGAGCAGGTTCAGTTACTTGAATAATTGAAATTATAAAAGTTTCACCTAAGTTTAGTATCATTACAAATCTAGTCTAGACTGTGTGACAAAAACTAGTTCCTTCTTCTGATTGACAAGAGTTAGTCATGTTTCGAGATGAGTATAAGAACCAGTTCAGTATTCCATTAAGACTAAATACAAGAACGGACATGTCACTATTATTGCGAGCAGGATATTCAATAACAGAATCATTAATAACAAAACTGATATCATATTTTTTTCAATAGTTTTTTTCACTACCTCTAACTAGCTAAATTTGAATAGATTGCTCGCTAATCAAGTGCTGGATTTTTATAAACTCTAGACGTTTACCTGGTTATAAAATAACGTTTTTTCCATTTATTCTCAAATATATGACATCTTGTGATTATAGTTACCCTGTGTTTTTCCCTCAGATATGGTGAAAAACAAAGGAAATCAGATCCGTCAAAAGAGTTGACTGGTATTCAGCTACTTTCCGCCACCGCTTACCAACTCAAGAAACCGAACCAGCAGCTTCTAATTCCAATCACTCTTTGGATTGGCATGGAACAGGCTTTCATCGGTGCTGACTACACTCAGGTAGTTTTAACTGATACGAACAATTATCTTCTGTCAATCATAATCTTACACTTGCTGACAATTAAGAAAAATCAGTTTATTAACTCCCATTGTTTTATATGTCATATAGATAATTAGTTATTTACATTCACTGTATAACGTCATAGTTTAACTACTTACTGGTAAACTGGTGGTATTATTTGGCCTTTACATACTAATATTATGTGTGATACTTATGCGTGACATACGATTAACTTTAAAAAGATTTTAATATTTAAATTAACAAATTAAATAGGTATAGCACTTTTATTATAGAAATCAGTAACAATAAAGGTACCAAAATACTCAGAACTAAGGCAACATAGAAAAGGACATAAAGAACCGAACCGGGAATAGAACTCGGGATCTCAGGGGCCACAGAGGTCATCTGATACAAATATAAAACCGTGAAATATCTGACCATTTCTAAGTGTACATAGTATATCTATTTTAAATAGAATATTTAAGGTATATTTCTGAAAAACTAAATATTGTTTCAAAGTATTTATTAATGTTATAATATATATAACTAACTGACACGGGGGGCAAATATTTGCAACACATATTTAACTTTCTAACAAAGTAACTACGATTATTATATAGCCTATACTTTAAGCTAAATGAAGTTTATTAGCCTATCACTTTAAGCTTAATATTTTACACATAATTAGTCAATCATCTGTTTGGTAACAATGATATGATAATTTATAGAATTCTATAAAGATTTAAGCAACATTTTCGTATAATAATTCCTATTTACTAGAACAGTGATTACGTTTAACTGAACAAAAATACATATATGTAAGTGCGATGCACGTAGTTTTAATATTTATGTGACCACTTGAGTCAACAGACCTTTAAAGAACCATGACAATAATAAAGTGCAATTGTTGGAATTTGAGACAGGATACAGATTACTAGTTTTTCGTATTTCGTGTTATTTTTGTAAAATGAATAGTCTCAAGCTATTTAAATCTACTTAGCACCCGTTAGATTGTCAAAGAGTGAGTAAATGACAGTGACTTTATTTATTTGTAATATTTTTATGCATGCAAGTAAGGATCAGGCCTTCCTTATGGATGGTTAAGGAGGTTGGTTCATGACCCTTCGCGCTAGCCCTATGCGGATTGGGAGATAATAACTTAGTTGTCTAAAAATAAAGTCGTCTTTCTAGACCATCTGGAAAGAACAAAAAAATAAGATAAAGATTTTTTATTATTTATTTATTCAAAAGTAAATTTCTCAGCTGTTATGTCATACTTTGAATAACATAACATATCGTGACAAGACGTTGCTATTGAGGAAATCGAATTATAAACCAATGAATTTATGATAATAAAAATGATATCTGAATTGCTATTTCTCACGATATATTACGTTTTGTAGGTAGAAAACTAACTCTTACTCAGCTCTTCATAATATTTTTAACCTTTTTACTGGCAATCTCTGCAAACGAAATCGATCTTAGGTTCTTTCATATAATATCTGATGGTTGGTTTCCCTCCGTGCCGGACCCACGAATTCTTCCCCCACACGTAATCCGTAGTTGTTTTAGTAAGAAGACTTCCTAGTAAGTAGATGTCCTAGTAGTTGGAGGTGCCTGATTTAAGGCATAAAGCGCATTTTCCTTGCGTTAACAAAAAGAAAAACATATCCGATGGATAATCTTATTGAAGATAATTATGTTTTTCATATTTATGTTAATTTTACTGCTTTAATTCAGTAGTTACCGTAAAAATATTGCCCTAGTTCAGTTATCTCATCGTTGATTCTTAAATTATTCATTAATTAATGATGAGGCACTTATTGCCTAGAGCTCTAGCGTACTTCGGAAGGCATGTTACCTATACCGTTTGAACCGCCTTTATCTCTAGCCATGACTCTAGCTATAAGATGGATCTTAGCGATGTTATGGCGATATTTCCTTTCATTTTACTACTTTGACATGTCTTTTAGTGGATGAACGACTAATTAGGAACGCTGTCGTCAAATTCATAATGATCATTCTTTATTATGCGTTCGTCATAATTAAAGTGCATGTCAAAATAGTAAAATGAAACCACATATCCCCATAAAATAGCTAAGAGATCGTATCCTTTGGCTAACGTATTGCTTAGAAAGTTAGACGGTCGCACCTCTGGTTTCGTGCTTGATTCGTCGTTTGTGCCTTACAGTATTGAAATTTTTCAGGCATACGTGTCCTGCGCTCTCGGCATTCACTCGATTGGTTATGTGATGATATGTTTCGGTGTGGTGAACGCTCTCTGCTCGCTGGTATTTGGTTCCGCCATGAAGTACATCGGCAGGTTCCCAATTCTGGTAATGGGCGCGGCACTACACCTGGGCCTAATCGTATGGCTACTCATATGGACACCGAATCCTAACTCGCCGACAGTTTTCTTCGTCATCTCGAGCTTATGGGGCGTTGGAGACGCAGTGTGGCAGACACAAGTTAATGGTGAGAATATTTTCTATCATAACACTAATGTATAAAGAAAGGAAATACGTGTTTTTTTTTAAAGATTCGTACATAAATATGAAAAGCTGTCAAAAAAGAGTAACCTGTTCTTTAAGAAAATAACTTAGAAACCTTCCCCTATTATCGAAATTACTAATTAAAATAGTTCTTTAAATATATTACAGCAAAAGTTTTAAGAAGTTTATAGTATAGTTTATAAATGTAATATTATTACACAGATGATATCATCTGTTACTTAAGAATATAAATAAAAAACAACTTAAAGTTTATTGCCTAAGTTCACGGTTCAGCAAACAGAAAATACGTGATTTTTATTGTAAAAAAAAATATTCTTTAGGTTACTTGCTAGGAAAGACCTTGTCCGCGAAACATAAGTTATCTATACTATAATTCTAAGTAATTCCTTAATAATATAACATAAGTATATATCGTTTTTGGTTAACAGTGTAGTTTACAGTAAAAGAGTTTGTATTGCTTGATATTTAGACATTGCTAATCTAAACCGGTCCAAGCTTCAATGTATATGTGTCTGATATATTTAAAAAGGAACCTATAAAAATATAAGAGAGCAAAGTATAATTTACGCGAGCGAATTCGCAGGACTAACTAGTTAAAAAATAAAATCGTAACATCATCGTTATCTCTATAAAATCTTAAAACGTATAATAGCAAAAGTAAAAGGGAGTTATAAACTACTTTAGTCATAATTGCGTGTACTTACTCTCTAATATTTTCAAATAATGAAACTGTAAACCTTTATTATTCTATAGAACACTATACATCCGACATAAATGGATAATTGGACAATATATTATTTTTATCACAACATGGGGCTTCTAGCATCATATTATCGCATCATACTTGCATCTTGTTTTCTCACGTGCGCGGGCGCCGACCGATACATGTTTTTTTTTACGTCAAAGTTATTAACAATCACAGTTTCGCATCAATAAGTAATTCTATTGCGTCCGCAATCTAGACACATCGATTTACATAATTATTATAAAAAAAAATTGCAATATGAGATAATATTGCATAGGCATCATCCATAAAATACATAATTGTCACAATTTTGATGTTTTAATAAAGTTTTCTGAATTTAGTTCAGTTTATGAGTGTATTCGTCTAAATTATCAATATCAACAAGAGTAAACAATATATTTCTAAAAAAATATAATTTAACAGTTTCAATAGAAGTTTGATCGCCAACAATGTCAATTACAGACTATTTTTCCGTTATCTCTTTGATAAAAAACAATTGATAGTTTTTTTTGTCGTCGTTCTATATCGAAAATGTCTTTCCAGGTCTGTACGGAGTTCTATTCAGACGTAACAAAGAAGCTGCATTCTCCAACTACAGACTATGGGAAAGCGCTGGTTTTGTGGTCGCCTATGCGTACTCTACACACTTGTGTGCCCGGATGAAGCTGTACGTGATGATGGTAGTTCTTCTTATTGGTGTCATTGGCTACATTATTGTGGAAATTTTGCATAAGAGAAAGGTAAGAATCGATAATTATATATTTGATGGGAAAGTGTGTTTGTTTGTTCTTCCTTCACGTCGCAAGAGCATCGTTATGATTATTTTGCCACACATAAATAATAAACAAAAAAAATCAGCATAAGAGCAACAGCAGAGTAACAAATATTCTTTTAAATGATTTTTCATCGTTATGGATTATCCTGGTTCGATACAATTTATCGATTTACTTTTATCAGAGCAAAGATAGCGATTTGACTCGAGTAGGATTCACTCCAACCAATTAACTAATTTACTCATGTCCCAGGTTTCGAGTCACTCGAGTAAAAAAATTGCAAACGTGCTACTCGAGTGAGATATCTCTTATTAATTTTAAACAAATATTAAATAAATAAAATACACATCAAAAGAATTAAGATATATTATTTACTTAAATAATCGAGAATATAAAAAATAAGCGGCATAGATAAATAAATTAGAGAAGCGAATAGACATCTTATGGCGAGAGAATCAACTCGATGCGCCGAGTTGACTTGATAACGAGAAATCAATCGTATGAATACTTCAATCATGTATTGTTGACCGAAGTATAAATATCATAGTTTTATTACTTAAAAAAAAAGCAATAAAAAGATTATTAATTGTACAAACTTCGTAGTTAAAAATTAAAATGGTAGAGGAAAAGATTCGGCATCATCTAAATTAATTAAAGATACGTTAAACGAGTAAATTGTTAATGTTTTGTTTTCATTTCATTCTGTTGACATTTCACTATTAATATATGGTTTACCAAGAACATCCTTTATGAACAAAAATAAATAAGGCACAGTGAGTCATCCTTTCAAACAGACCGTTGTCACTAATCAAACATTATCACATTTGCACGAGTTACAACATTTACACAGTTAATTCATTGACGATTTTTTTTTTACCTTGCCTCTTTTCCAGGAACGGCTATGTTCCTATCTTAAAGCAAATCGAACTTTTTTGCACATGTAAAATTTGCAATACGATTTTTTTTCTGCTGCTGACAATTTATATTTCGATTTGTGAGGTAAAATAGCACACTATTCTAGAGTCGATAAAGTACACAATGTGTTAAGTTAATAAAAAACCGACCAAGAGCAAACTATCCATCCATCTATGAGAAATGTAAAACATACGTGATTTTTTAGTAGCCTCATAAATACTTATTTTATTGTATATTTATTATTTGTCGATAAAGCGACAACAGAAATACATTATCTGTGAAAATTTCAACTGTCTAACTAACATGATTCGTCAGATACAGCCTGGAGACTAATGGACAGACTGACGGATGGACAGCGGAGTCTTAGTAATAGGGTGCGGTTTTTACCCTTTGATTAAAGAACCCTAAAAAAAAGTATTGAATAATACTCGGCTTCAATTCGATCCCAAGTTAAATTAATGTAAATGCAATAATGAAAACAAATGATAATGTAGTTTTCATAACGCAAGTCATGCATTAGAGAATGAGTAGTTCAACCAGTTGATACACCTAATGAGTTTTATTCTCAGTAGTTCATCTACCGTTTGCCGATGAAATGTAGGGCAAAATATGTATAGAACGTAGGTCGTCTCCTTTATTTTTAAAACATTGTAAAACTAGATTATGAAAATTTAACATAAAATTTTTGTCAACAGGCACGTCGCCTCAAAGCTATCGCCGAGGATCCCGCTATCGCAGCAGAAGCAGCTAAGCAGCCACCCGAAGAAGACGACGAGAAAGACGAGATTGATGATGAAATTGTCATCACACATCTTTAAATTTAACAATCACGTCACCAGTGACGTAAATGTGTTGCCTGTACACCTGTCTTGGAATATTAGCGGCATACCAATTTGACTTGAGATAGAAACGAATTGCATGTAGAAAATTAGATTCACGATAGAAGTTATGTTCGATATAACAATTTATGTTGTCGTTCTATACAATAATTCGACTTCTGCAAAGAAAACCGTTGTTATGTTATTGAGTAATAAAAAAATATATATCTGCTTGCTCTTAACTTTAAATCATTCAAGATTTTACACAACAACAAGTATTTTATAAAAATTTTAAAAGAAAATTTATATTAGAATATAGAAATGGTTGTTTTAATAATGTTTGTATGCAAATAAGTTATGTGAAAAATATTATGAAATAGCGTTTACCGGTGTCGACTTTACTAAAAAATTAAGACAATTTAAAGATTCAAATTAAATGAATACATTCGCTCTCTTTTATGTTTAATATAAATAAAAAGAGACGCATATGTTGCACGCCTGTTGCTGTTATAATAGTATTTTAAGACAGGTGAGATATTGATATTATCAGTTTATCACAGTATTTAATATGTACTGTTCGCTAATTGCATTAGTGTATGCCTAAAATATATATCTGCGCATATACTAAAGAATATGCCATAACAGGCACATTTATATTACAATCGAATAGGTACAAAAATGATTCAGGGAATTGTTTCCGCAAATGAAAGTATAAAAAACTCCTACTTGAATTGCATAAGTTATTAAGCTCAGTAGAAAATAAAAAAACAAAATACAAGTACAAACATGATTATAAATCTAATCACCCGTTAACCGCCGTTAACTACAAAGCCATACACATTACAATTGACAACTAAATGTTAAATTTAGTATTCTAATATGTTATTGTTACTTAATTAAAAAGACCTTGGCCATATTAACTAAGTAAGTTCTCATCATTAAACATAAGCATCGTAATAGATCATGAAACGTCAATATTGTTGTCTGTATGATCAGCTACTGACTGGTTACTTGCCTAAAAAATAGAACTTATCTTCTTTCACATTAATAAACATATACAGTCTTTTAAATTTGATGAAGTACTATCGGAAACACTATTAATAAAGTTGAGAAACATCGAGCTTTTAAGTTTTACAGATAATGGTATAGAAATATTTTACGATAACAATTTAACCTCTTATTTAAGCGGTTGCCGTGTTAAGAAAAATGTTAATTGTTTATACATTTCATTGTATTGACTATAAACCAATTTGACTATCACAATAACTAGTAGGATTATATTGCCAGGAAGCGATACTCTCTGCCACCCGGCACTGGCATCAAATATCCCAACATCGCATATTATAAATGTACTTACTTATGCGACTATATTTAATTATAAGGTACATTAATTGTACATATATCGATAAATTATCATCCTATTTCTGTTCCAATTGGCCTACGTAACTATTTATTTTTATTTAATAAAAATTTTGTTATATGTTAATAACATTAGTATTTGTACTGTTGTTGTTTCCATAATTATTTATCTAATACTTTTACAAATCGTGAGAATGAAACTTCGTGTTGAATTTTAATATAGGAACATGAAAAAGGCTGATGAATTATTAATGAAATGTTATACGTTGTAGACGTGCCCTTTGTGTGATTATCAACATTTAATGAGTTAACAATATATTTATGAAAAAATAGGATTGAAAATATGAGTTATGTTTTCTTTAATATATTATAACGGCGCAAATATAAGTATTTTTGTATTACGATACATCACTTCGAAAAGATTATTAGAAAAAAAAATTGTTAAAAAAATTTGTGATTCCTATATTTGTCGGCTATTTTTGGCTACATGTAATTGGAGTGCCAAAGATCTTATTCGATTTTTGATATATATTTTATTTTAACACCCATCACTCTATGCTCAAAAATGAAACTTTTATTTTAAATTTTAACATAGCCGCGTAGATCACACATGTAATTCGACTACGACGACTTTTAATATGGTCTTAATGTTATCTTAAAAATTCATTTTTAGTTGACTTTTAAATAATTTCAATGAAATATCGTCTTGTTTAAAATACAGTTTGAAATATTAATAAGTTATGACATTACTCTACTGCGTATTATGTGAATGTGGTCATGTGTAATCTCCGTAGCGAAATAATATCTCGTGAAGATACTTAGATCAAATAAATTTATTTTAGTAATATATTAGATTAATCTTTATAAATACGTAGATACTTAAGATTGTGTATATTCATTCTACTTTAATGATTTTTTAAATCATTGAAACGAGTGTACTATTATTTAAAGAATACGTTCTAAATTAATCGACTATAGAGCAAGTTCCATTAAATATGCCGTTTTTATTTGTAAATAGGTAATAATCCATTGTTTTTAAAGATAGCAATTGAAAAAATATAAAAGATTGTCGCTCGATTAATAATGTATTGTCTTATTTGTACAAACAAACATTGGGGAAATTTTTTTCGTATACATTTTTGTTTTAAAAGTGGCATTGGTCCACGACGGCCAAAAAAATAACACGATATTTAATAAATTTAGACACAGAAAAGAATATCTAAAAAACTCCAGTGGTTTATCAAATGTAAATTTAAAGGAACTTATCCTACTCGTTGCAAATCTTTAGTTATGAACGAATTTATATCTCTTTTTAATATTATTTTATTCTTATAAACGACGGAATTATTGATGAATTCTTGCTAACACTTGTACTGTGACAGATTGACTTTATGGGCCTCCGTTGTTATTTAAAAAAATGTTTAGTTTGAAAGGAAAAATCAATTAATAACGGAGGCAGCATACGTTGCCGACGTCTACAATTCTTTTTTAATAGTGAAGTCAATAATTTAAAAAATGTCCAGACAGCTGTCTAACGTGCTGAACTAGGATATAATCAATTGGGTTCCAATATGCTAATAACGGAAATAATACACGTTATATAACGGAATTTTAATAAAATATATGATGTCCTTCAATTATTTAATTTTAAGGAATCCGAGTGAAATTAAATGATTAATCATTTAATAAGAGAATTACGTTTGTGCAAGGCACAAAATATAAACAATCATGGTAAGTACCATTCGGTAGGATTACAAACCACGTGATAATTAACAATAATTATATTAAATAAATGTAAATTAATTACGTTTTAATTATTAGTAGTAGAAAGGCTATTCTATAAATAAATCGCTATATTTTGAGATAACACATATTCTTGTTAGAATGTAGCGAGTAATTATTATTATTTTATTAATTTGAATAAAGATGTCATATGAGTTTGTGATGAAAATAAACATAGAATTTGTTTGATCACTTTTTTTATATGAATATGGATTAAGGTCCATGCCAATCCTTACGTTAACTGAGGTAAGTTTGAATAAGTAAATATCATTTGTGTTTACTAATATTATAAAGAGGTAAAGTTTCCAACTTTCTACCTTAGGAAATAATGTTTCAAACATGAAAATTCTGTGGAAGATACATTATACGCAGGTGATTAGGCTATAATTTATGGGGGCGAAGTCACGGGAAAAGATTGGAACGAATATTAGATGGAAATATACTATATAAAATACTTATAAATAATAAATAAAATATATTATTAATAAAAAAAGGCATATCTTGTGGCTTTTGTTATCTTAATAAATATAATGTGTCTTAACAGCACAGCATTTCAAGAGTCTGTTACTACAGCAGAAATCTGCATGATTTATAATTAAAGTTAAACTCTTGTTAAACTTTAATTTTTTAACTGGAATCACAAGGATTACATACTAAATACCTAGGATTATACGTAGATATAATAATGGTCAGTAGAGTAGCTTGGTGAGGCCGCAGCCCGCGATTGTTGTTGTTAAGGAACTTTCACAAGGGTCTGTCACGGGATGGGTGACCAAATATTAATTGTGTCAAGCTACTCTGTATTTCGGAAGGCACGTTAAATCGTTGGTCCCGACAGCATTTGCAGTCGTTAATACATTCCAATCCGCATTGGGTCAGCGTGGAGGGCCATGGCTCATCCTCCTTAACCATAAGGAAGGACTGAGCCCCTGCAGTGAGGACGTAAAAGGGTCGATGTTGATAGTCATTTTTTATATCAACATTTTAAAGTTAACGTTCTGAAAAATTTAATATCATGTCAGATTCTATTTAAAGGCGTTGTTGTCGCTACGACAAAACAATAAAATATCAGCAATTAGATTATTTTATATAAAGACCATGACACAAATGATTAACTTTAAGTAGCCGCGTATGTAAAGCAAGTGAAAAAATTATCTACTGCATAATTGTAGGTTTTTAATGTTATTATTAAGATATCCTTGAAGTAAATATGTTTTAAAATAATCAGAAACATCGATAATAAAGATTAGTTGATTGAAATTTACCAAGAGCGTGGGACGTTCACAGGTTCGCGCTTTATCCTGTCCTGTTGTGTCGGCAAGTTGAATATTTTCTTTTATATTAAACACTAGCTGTTTTTCCGTGACTTCGCCCGCGTAAATTATAGCCCATCTTACCCGTGTGATGATGCAGCTTCCCGCAGATGAAAGAAGTTTTAAAATCAGTCCAGTAGTTTTGGAGCCTATTCAATGCAAACAGATGAACAAATCAAACCATTCCTATGTATATTAATATAAATGACATATATTACTCCATCATTAAATAGCTAAGTTCATTATTTTATGAAGATTTTAAACGTACTACAACCATACCTTAGGGAATTATAAGAACAGACTTTTTTTCGGAATTAGCGAAAGAGTTTGAATGTCAATCGTCAGAGATTTTAATAGTCCGGAAGCCATTTGCTCATTATACGATTTTTTAAATTATTGATAGGTAAGTAATATTTTTGATTTATTAATTATGAAACCTACGAATAAAACACAGGGGCTATCCACTTTGAATATCTATGACATTCTTTCAATTTGATATTTAAAAGATATGCACAGAATTCACGCTATAATTATGTGACAGCGATATTGAATGAATGGCATCGTCAACTTGAACATTAATTGCAATTGCATTAAACAAAAAAGTTGAGAACAATCATGCAATCCTTCAACGGACTTAGGTAATTTTTTTTTATCATTTAAGTCAGTCATCATTTGAAGGGATTAAAATGAGACGTTTAAAGGGATTGCGATAGATTTGACGAATTTGACAATTGTCCCTTCGACTATCTAATGTGACGATGTGAAGAATGAGAGAATTGTGTAGGGCGTACTATTACAGCAGTTATCAATTATGCTTATGTAATAGGTATGCTGGATCGATGATCGATGGCGAAATAATTAATAATTAATGCGGTCTGCGGTGGAGAAGTTAAGCAACTTTCGCGGGGTCCATCAGAAGATGGGTGACCAAAATTTATTTGGTCATATCAGCCCATTCTTACTATATAGTGGGGCCATAAATACTGTAAGAATTAAATATAAACAAAACATTACTTTTGAATTTCGAATCTGTCATTTTTATATGATTGTTCAGTCTAAGTATAGGCTGGTACTTACATAGAGGAGTACCTAATGTAGGTCTAGTATAAGTACACTCGAAAAGCATTACCTACTTCAGACGATTAAAAATATGTAACAAACATAAGAGATACTATGTTTTATTAAATATGCAAAAATAAACTTATTAATATTGAACTTTGTAATAGGCGGATTTTTTTCACCGGTGCGTAGT